GGGTTTTTTTTTAAACCATGATGCAGTTTTTCTCCGTTGGTATGCCTACATGGAAGAAACCTCATTAAATCAAAAGCCCGGGGCACCCAGACCCTGCTTCTGGCTCAGCCACAAGCATCCCTTTCCCTCTCCAGCCACAGCTTCCATTCTTGCCCAGACACCGCTCGGGGAAGGACCGACTGACCCCTGCCATGACAGCAGCCTTGATAGCTGCTGTCCCCATTTCAGCTGGTGCATCTGCTCCTGGTGGAGTTGAGCATGTCGTGTGTGTCCGCCGTTGCAGGTGACTTGCCCCTCAGCCTTCCGGGATACCTGGTTTTCCGCTGCAGTAACCCAGCGTACTGGGTCTATGCCGATCAGAGGTGTAACGGGATGAACGACTGCGGAGACTGCTCTGATGAGATGGGGAGCTGTAAGTTTCTCTTCTGGCTACTGTTGGGCAAGAGGTCCTTTCTGCTGATGGATTGAAATAGGCTGTGCAGGTGAGGTGCTCACTGATGCTGCTGGAAATGCCAGGAGCCTGTCATCCACCACTAAAACACAAAATAGCTGGGACAGGACGTGAGTATGAACCGTGCAGGCTCCCTCCCATCGGCTGCCAAGGGCTCTATGTCAAAGCCTGGTGGCAACCATGAGGGGAAAGGCTCGGTGCTTTGCTCCCAGCCCCGAAAGTCGTTCTTCCTCTGTGGCTTGCTGAGTGTGGAGCAGTCTCATTGGGATGTGTAGCTGTAGGCAGCAGCGATCATTCAAACTGGATCTCCTTTTGGTCAGGAGATAGGTATGTCTCTGAGCCGGGGGATGAGCATGCCTCAGCAGCTTCAAAGCCATGTAGATCCTTCTCTCGCTAAAATAAGCAGCAGGTTTGTTCCTAAGTCAACCCTGTGGTTTTGAACCCCAGGCAAGACCTGCCTGTATCAGCAGCTTTCTCTAGCATAGCTTGCTAAAAAAATGAATTACATCTAGTTATTCCTCCCAGGATGGCATGTCTGCCATGAAGGTCATTGCAATGTCAGGCTCCCTGGTTGTGTCTCACAGGTTGCATCAAGCAGGTGTCCTCTTTGGTGGGTTCACAGACTCAGGGTCATCACCAGTGGCTTTTCATTAGCTGCCAGGCATGAAAGGGTAGCTACCCACGTAAGAAAGGAGGGAAGGGATCAATGCAGCAGGAGTATCTCTGTTCCCTGTTTCCCGTCCCTCCCAGTGGCCGCCTGCCCCCCGTGCGGGTCGGAGTGGTGGAGCTGCAGCCCTGTGCTCTACGAGTACTGCTCCTGCGTCCCCAGGAGGCTGTGCCGGGACGGCGTCCAGCACTGCCTCGGCTGGTCCGATGAGTATGTCTGCAGACCGTGAAGTCTTGGCACCCAGCAGTGTTGGAGACCGCACGGTGCTTCCTGCATTGTCACCTTAAGCCTTGGTGTCCTCCTGCTCTGCCACCTGCTCAGGAAGCTCTGACCCAAGCAAGCCCTCGTCAGCGGTGCTCTGACCGGCACGCAATGACACCGAACAGGGACGAAGTGCTGTGCTTCCAGCCTACGGCAGCCCATGGCTGCAGGCTAGACACCGGCTGTGGGACACCTCCACAGTTCTCCCGTCGTGCGAGGGTGAGTCCTTTCTACGTGGGCAGAGCACGGTCTTGCCGCATTGACTCGATAGCCCGAAGGGTTGTGTGCAGGCTGCTGGAGGCTACCAGCTGCTGGCAACACAGATACTGTGTCTGGTCAGCCCTGGGCGAGGGGCTTCTCCTGTATGGACATGCTGGTGCCTCTGCGGGCACAGGACTGCGGACGTTGAGGACTACCCTAAAGAGCAGGAGCTGAGTGAGGTGAGCCTTTCTCGCCCTTGGGTCGGCATTTCCCTCCCACATGTCTTCACACTCCTGGTCCTCATGGGTAGGAGGAGAAGCCTGTGTTTGTGTTCAAAGCACATCTGCAGATGGTTTCAGCAGCAGCTTTGAAGGCTCTGCCTTGATGCTCCCAGGACATGTCCTCGGGAACGCTGTGCTGAGGGTGACATGGTGGGGAGCTGCTGCACAGGCCACCTCCTGCGCTCTTCTCAAACTGTGAAGGCTAATGTGGAGACCACAATGGGTGTTTGAGGGTTTGTGGGGACAAATCACTGTGTCCCCGTGACCACGTAGCTGTCCCTGCAGGGCAGGGAGCTAGTGTGTATATAAAATGTACTTCTCTCAGGGCTGTGCAGTTTTGGAACAGCCGCTCAGCAGGTTGAGAACAGCTTTGGGGCTGGGATGAGTTTGCACAGAAGATGGCAAAGAAAGGAGGAAAAAAAAAGTCACAGCCTCGGAGCAGAGAGCAGCAGAAAACCAAGTGCTGCAGCTGCTCCCGGGGCGGCGTGGGATGACACAGGGTCTGTTTGCTGCTCATTTTATTCCTCTGCCAGCAGAGCAGGACCAGCCAGCCAAACCTTCAAAGCAGTGCTCAGGATATGGATATGGATGTGCCACTGAAATGTAAGAAGGATGCCGTCTTTCTTTGCTCCTTTGAAAAGCTCGTTTGTGTCTAAAATATCATCTCTGAGAAAACCCCGCATTTACAGAGAGTGCACTTACTTTCCTAGGCCCAAAATAAACATCAGGCAATATTCTTCCCACCACCATCCCAGGTCATATATCTTTAAAAATAAAACCCCTTTCAATCATTTCCTCTCTGTCCTGTGATCTGCAGCTCTGCATGTCACCATGGCTTGTATCAACAGTGAATGTTTCCTCTAATTTGTAGCTGGGATACAGCTGCAGATCTGAGAGATCTTTTAAAAATAGCTTTACTGTCTTCTGACTTGTACTTTACCTGGAATGAGATGGCAAAACTTTGCGTAACAGAACTGGTACTACGGGAAACTTTTAAAGTTGCATTTAATAAGCCGTCCTTCTCCACACTTGGCCAGCATGGATGGCTTGCTTTCTCCATGCCTGTAAAACATTACTGCAGTGCATTCAGTGCTGCAGCTCTGAAGAGAGGTTAGGAGTTTCCTAGGTAAATGTTTCTCACTTGCAAGCTTCCAGCCTCAATCAAAGCCTGAAATCAAGATGCACATTTTTGCTGTAGAGTCACAGACATCTAACGCTTCAACAAGGTTCAGTTGGGATTGGTAAATAAAGCCTGCATTATTGTAGTTGCTGTTGTTCCTCTTGTTACCCCAAAATATGTTCTGGGGCAATCAATGAGGAAGTCTTGCAGCTTTTCTTAAGAGGAGCTCAAGGAGGGGCGATTCGGAAGCAGAGCTACCACTACCTGGTCAGCCTCTCCTTCCTGGGAAGAAGAGCTTCTTTCTGACTCAGGTCGGGTTCAGCCACGGACTGTTTGCCTGTTCCTTGGCTTTGTAGTGCAACAAGCTCTCTGCATTGGGAGGGTGCAGGTGGGCTACAACTGGTGCACCCTTCTTACGGGGCAGCAGTCAAGGAAAGGTGGGAGAGAAGTGGGAGAAGAATCCTATCCCTCATGATGGGAAATGTATGTGGATAACAGAACAATTGTAGTTGGTAAGAATTGAACTAATAAGCTGTTACAAAATATAGAAACCCTCATGCTCAGCACAGGGCCCAGCCAATATGGTTGGTAAAAAAAAAAAAAAATTGCTCTGTATCAAAGATACTGGGGGACAGTCACGACTTTC